CTGGTTCCCTCTTTTTTCTTTTTTTTTCTTTTTGTTTTTTTTGATTTTTTTTTTCTGGTACCAGGGATTGAACTCACAAGCTTGCGCTTGCTGGGTAGGTGCTGTGCCGAGGAGCTAAATCCCCAGCCCTATATATCTTTTTTGAGACAGGGTCTCACTATGCAGCTCAGGCTGGCCTTGAGCTCACTTTGTAGCCCAGGCTGGCCTCAAACTGGAAGCAATCCTCCTGCCTCAGCCTCCTGAGTGCTGGGATTACAGGTATGGGCCACCATGCCTGGCTAGTAAATATTTATCGAGTACCTATTATGTGTGGGGTTCTATTTGAAGTGCTGGGGATACAGCTGCAAGCAGGACAAACCAAGTCCCTGTCCTGGTGCAGTTCCTATCCTCAGGGACAGAGATGGACAGCATGCGAGGACACAGCATGACGTGTGTGATGCCACCATAAAGAAAAATAAAGTGGGGCATCTACTCTTTAAAGTGGGGGGTTAGGGCAGCCTCCCCAAGCTGAGGACATTTGGGGGTGAAATGAGGGAGCCAGCCAAGCAGAGAATTTGGAGGGAGTTCCAGGCAGATGAAGTGGCTGAGGCAAAGGCCCTGGCGTGGGCAGGTGTTTGGAGTGTTTGAGGGGCAGCACAAGGACTGAAGGGTGTGGTGGGAGGGGAGGCAAAGCAGTGCAGAGATGGGCTGAGCCTGGAGAGGTGAGGGCGACCAAAACACACGAGGTCTGTTTTTTGAGACAAGGTCTTCTATGGAGCCCAGCCTGGCCTCCAATTCACCGAGATCTTCCTGCCTCAGCCTCCCAAGTGCTGGGATTATAGACCGGCTCCACCATCCCTGGCAAGGTCTTTAAGAAGCTAAGGTTTTATGGCAAATGTGGTGGGAGCCATCAAAAGGTTTTGAGGCAAGGAGTGACAGGGTACAAACTGTGTTTTAATAATGCTCTTCGTGGCTACTGGGTGGGGAACAGGCAGCAAAGGAGTAAGAATGGCAGCAGCGAGGCCTAACAGAATCAGTGATAGGGATGTGGTTGGTTCTGCTTAGGGGGTTTAGGGTAGTAAGATAGGGTCCAACCATCTTGGCTTCTCTACCAAGAAATACTACTTAAAAAGTTATTTATACTAGTTATTTATACTATTTAAATAGTATACCATTTAAAAAGTTATCGCCAAGTGACTGAATTTTTTTTAATTTTGAGTGGAGGGCTGGGGGTACGGTACAGTGGTACAGTGCCTGCCTGGCAAGCACGAAGTCCTGAGTTCGAATCCCGGTACCAAAAAAAAAAAAAAAAAAGATAGCTGGGTGTGGTGACACATGCCTGTAATCCCAGCACTCAGGAGGCTGAGGCAGGAGGATCACTGTGAGTTCGAGACCAGCCTGGGCCACAAAGTAGCTCAAGGCCAGTCTGAACTGCATCATGAGGTCTGTCTCAAAAAGACAAAACATAAAAGTGAAAAATGAGAAATCAAAGTGTGAGAATACAGCAGTGCCTCGGTTCACAAACTCGAATGGTGGCAAGAATTAAGTTTGTGAACTGAGGCCCCACTGTAATAGGGCTACTCTGAGTAAAGCAATGTTAGGTACACCTCCTGGGAAGCTGCGGTATTTAACATTTCATACATGATTTTCTGTTTGTTTGTTTTTTTTTTTGAGACAGGGTCTCACTATGTAGCCCAGATGGTCCTTAAACTCACCACAATCCTCCTGCCTCACCCTCCCTAGTGCTGGGATTACAGGCGTGCGCTACCACGCCGGCTTTAGGAGTGCTTCTAAAGCTCGGTGAGCAAGTGGAAAGTGACAAGTGTTTTCCACGTGGCCAAGTGTCAGGCAGCTCACACACAGGATGACAATGCAGATAACAGCTACAAAACAGTGAAAACTGCGTGTTGCCACTGAAGACTGGAATCTAAATGTTGAAACAGTGGACTCAGGAGGCTGAGGCAGGAGAATCGCTGCAAGTTTGAGGCCAGCCTGGGCTACAAAGTGAGCTCAAGGCCAGCCTGAACTGCATAGCCAGACCCCGTCTCAAAAAGACAAAAAAAAAAAAAAAGTCCACGCCAATGATTCCTTCAAGACTCCAGCTTGTCCAAAGTCCAAAGGGCCTGGTGATCCAGAATAAAGACAGAAATATCTTCAAAGCAACATCAGGACACCTCTCTGAAGGCTCAGTGGGTCTCCCACACAAAAGAGGAATCGGGCAGGGAAAATGATGAAAAGGACAGAGGGGCTTTTGTTTGATGGGTTAAATGCCCCTAAAGAAGACGAGGTAAAGTCTGTGAAACCATGAAAGATTCAGAACACAACGGCCATTTTCCTACAGTCTTGTGGTTTTGAAAACAGGGCACAAAAGGAGCTTGAAATTGGGGGTAATGTCCATGTACAAGGATGCCAAATTGGAGGCACATAAAAGAATCCTTCTGGGGGCTGGGGATTTAGCTCAGCGGCACAGCGCCTGCCTGGCAAGCGCAAGGTCGTGAGTTCGATTCCCGGTGCCGGAAAAAAACAAAACAAAACAAAAAGAATCCTTCTTTAGACAGGAGACCATTAAATATTCCCTAATATGCGGAAAGATGTGAGCGAGCCCCAAACCGGAAGTGGGTGGGGTCGATCAGCCTCCTACCTCTTCTCTCCTTTGCTGGGACAGAAACTGGTCTGCGCCATCAAGTACTGTCCCTCTCTGCCAGATTATAACAGACTACAACCACAGAAACCATGGATCACTGACAAGACGTCAGTGGATTCCAAATGCTAATATTAGATCTCACTGCGAGTCAAAATTAGGTTGACAGTAAATTCAAAGGTGAAAGATTTATAATAGACGAATAAGGGCGATTAAGGATATAGGGGAGGGGCATATCCTTAATCTTTGTGGTATATGCCATAGATGTATTCTATGTTCTCAAAAAAAAAAAAAAAAAAAAGTTCATGGTCGCGCACGGCTGAAACCCCAGCACCCTAGAAAGCTGGTAGGAGGATCGCCACAAGTTGGAGACCAGCCTGAACTACACAGAGAGACCCTGTCTCAGAAAACCCAAAAATAAAACAAAGAAATGATACTTGGTAATCTGAATTGGTTGGAAAAAATAACAACATTTTCTTTCTTTCTTTCTTTCTTTTTTTTTTGTCTTTTTGAGACAGGGTTTCGCTATGCAGTTCAGACTGGTCTTGAACTCACTTTGTAGCTCAGGCTGGTCTTGAACTCGCAATGATCCTCCTGCCTCAGCCTCCCGAGTGCTGGGATTACAGGTGTGCACCAGCATGCCTGGCTTAAGAACATTTTCTAAACACTGTTTTTCAGCATCCAGGTCAGAAAGTAGATAGAAACAGGGATTTTTCGTCGTTTGAATTTCACTCACAACACAAATCTTTTGCTCTTACCACATCCCAGCCCAAGGGGAGGGAAAATCAGACGAACCAACCGTTAGATATGGAACAGTTATCAGGGGCTGAGGATTTAGCTCAGTGGCACAGTACCTGCCTGGCAAGCGCAACGTTGTGAGTTCGATTCCCACTACCGGGGAAAAAAAAAAAAAAAAGGAACAGTTACCAACCCTGGTCTATGGGAGCCCTACCAACCTTCCTTCGCAGGAAAAATTTAAAATTGGGATCCTATGGGAAAGAAGATGGGGAGGGTAATAACCAGTGTCATTTTAACAGCGAGATGTTAAAAATGGGCCACACTTATCATAAAAGCCCTTCCTTTTAGTCAAAGATATATATATATATTTTTTCTCTCCTTCCAAAAGATATTACAGGCAGAACCCTCAGTTGCCTCAAAGAACACAGTCTCTATTCTTCTTACCTTACGTCCCCTTCTTTACCTGTTTTGTCCCTTTCTGCAGGAGGAACTTTTAGCTCCGCCCCCAGGTTATCCAAGCTCCGCCTTCCCGGTCCACCTGTGTGCCCAGCCCTTACGCTGCCGTTGGGCTTCAGCGGCCTGCAGGATTCCGGCTGCTGATTGGTCCTCCCGTCCCCGGCCTGAGGAGCCCACCAATGGCAGCGGCGCTGGGTGGGGGGGTGCCCACATCCAAGATGGCGACCCCAGGAGCTGGAAGCGGGTGACCGGCGGCGGGGAAGCGGCCTGGGTTGGCCCTCAGATTGTGGGGTGGTGGGGGGCCCTCTGGCCGGGCACCCCGCTGGCCCGACTACCAGGCCTTCCCCGGGCCAGCGCCATGGCCGCCGAGAACAGCAAGCAGTTTTGGAAGAGGAGCGCCAAGCTGCCGGGGAGGTGAGGTCGGGACGCCCAGGGGCAGAGGGGTTCGGACGGAACCTCGGCGGGTTGCGATCCCGAAATCCCGCGGGCCCGGGGCGCCGCCGAGGCTGGGAGACTGGTTTGGGAGGACGCGGGCTGCGCGAGGTGGGCGGCCCGGCGGCGGCTGGGCAGCTGTCAAGCGGAGGGGAGAGGACTGGGTGTGGGGTGCAGAGCGGGTCGGGGGGCGGAGGTCCCGCGAGGTGACCCCTGCGGGGAGGCGGCCGGACCCCCGGGGCCGCGGGGTCCGGTGCGGAGCCCGTGCGGGTCCCGGCCTCGGAGCGCCCGCCCCAGACCCGCTCCCCACTCTAGACAGCGCTGCCGCACGCAGCAGAGGTGGTGGCCCGGCGCCGCGGGTCAGCGCGCAGGAACCTCAGTCCGGGCTCCGAGGGGTGTGGCGGCGGCCCTGGGGTTGCCCGCGGGGTTGTGAGCGGGCGAAGAGCAGCTCTCCAGCCTGCTCCTACTTTATCCGGAGTTGGCCTTTCCATGAGGAATCCTTGCAGGATGACCACAGAACCCTTGAGCATTTTCTGTGCATTCCGGCCACCCAAAGTCAGCTCTCCCTCCCCTGCTCTTTTTGTGCACATGCACCGGAGTTTTTCCCCTTTCGGTGGGAGAGCGGATCTTTTGCTTTTCTCGGCTTTCCGGTGTAGGTGGACACTCTTAGCGATGTCCAGCCAGCCGTCAATGTGCTGTTGTTGCAGTTTCAATTTGTTTTAGGCAGAGTCCTGAGAAGTAAAGGGAGTGTGTTTCAGTCATGAGTTCCAGATTTCTGCCAGCCGCAGACTACTTAGCAATAGAACTCACGTTTGGTTATGTCCACACATGCCACGTTCCTCATTGATTTAGGTCTTTTCCTTATGGGCTTAATCCTTTGTTTGCTTTTCTCTTTTTTTTTTTTTGGTTTTTCTCCGGTACCGGGAACCGAACTCACGACCTTGCACTTGCCAGGCAGGCGCTTTTGCCGCTGAGCTAAATCCCCAGCCCCTTGTTTGCTTTTCTCTAAGAAAGATGGAGAATAAGGTGGGAATCAGCTTTTAGTAAAACATATTAAAATAAAAGGGGTAGCTGCCAGGCACACACCTGCGCTTGGGAGGCTGAGGTAGGAGGATCACCACAAGTTCGAAGCCAGCCTGGCCTAATAGTGAGTTCCAGGCCAACCTGAGCTACATAGGGAGACCCTGTCTCAAAGAATCTAAAATAAAAAGGGAGCGCAAAGATAGCTCAGATAAAAGCGCTGTAGAATTAGTGTTAATATAAGTGCTAACGTTGTTCTGTGCTTTCAGATAAAGCACCCTACACCCCACTTCCTGCCATCTGATTCATTTTCCTTCCTGGTCTAGCGAGCCATCCAGTTGGGCTAACTGCTTTTTCTGGGGTTTTCTGTAGAGAGATCGTGAAGTTTTGACATCCTAAGATCATAATCAGAATCAATGGGGAAACGGTTCTGTCAGGAGCCATAGAGGAGAGGTGAGGCATGGCCTGGTCGTCTGTGCCTGCCTCCCTCCCTTCCTCCTTTCTCTCTTCCTCTTTCCTTGCTAATTGAGACAGGGTCTTGCAGTGTAGTCCTGCTGGCCTTGAACTTGTGGAGATCCTCTTGCCTCAGCCTCCGGACAGCTGGGATCACAGATGTGTGCTAGCAGGCCCGGCTTCACCTGTGCCTTCTGAGTGCTGGTTGTGTTTTCTGTCTTTGGCTTTCTGTGTTTCTTCTGCGGGCCTACAGGGGCAGGAGAAGAAATACAGCACTGCTTTTGTGAGACAGGAAGAGGGGTCTTTTCAATTGCTTCAAGACCTTGGCTTTCTTTTTCACTGGAAGACTGTAGAGGGATAAAGGAGAACTTCCGAGTTTGGAGAGACTTGGGTTATTCTTTGGGCTCTTTTACCTGCGTGACCATGGACCAGTAGCCGACCTAACCTCTCTCTCGGCCTCAGTTTCCTCATCTATGAAATGAGGAATAAGGGTGCTTTCCTGAGAGTTACTGTCACGACAAAATGCAATACCTACTGGTAAAGAACCTAGCAGAGTGTTTATTTAGCCATTATGGTTGCTCAATAAATAGTAATTATTAAGATTACTGTTATTATTAGAGCAAGTAAAGGCTGTTTCCCAGATCTTTATCCCAGTACTAGTTGTCTCATTTATTCTTAAGGTATGAAAATACTGCCACAGTTCATAAGAGTTTTTATTACCTTGCTTGTTGAAAAGAAATATTGTTCAGCTGTGTGCTTTAGCAGAGAAGCCCCAGGAGCTCCTGACTATGGGAGAAACCTGGGGTCCTTTTAGATACAAAGGTGCTTCGGTTTAAAGAAAATGTTAGCTGGGCGTGGTGGTGCATGCCTATAATCCCAGCACTTGGGAGGCTGAGGCAGGAGGATCACTATGAGTTTGAGGCCAGCCTGGACTACAGAGTGAACTCAAGGCCAGTCTAAGCTACATAGCAAGACCCTGTCTAAAAAAACAAAACCACACACAAAAAAGGTTAAGGCATTTCCAACAGAACTTCTGTGCCTGAACTCTTAGTCTTAGAGAAGAAAAACTTCCTTCTTTGTAGGGAAATGACAAAATGCCCATGTGCCAGATTCAGGGCAACCTAAAAGTGAAATTTCTTTGCAAAGTGAAAAGAAAAAAATCAAAAGTGAAGGCATGTTACTTTCAGTTTCTTTAATTATGATCCAGCAACCACAGTGACAAAAAACAGGAATTTTATTAAATAAATAGCCAAGTTCAAAATGAATCATTCTTTTTTTAAAAATAACAATGATAGCCAGGCGTAGTGGCACACTCCTACAGTCCTAGCACTCTGGAGGCTGAGGCAGGAGGATCACCGCAAGTTTGAGGCCAGCCTGGGCTCCATAGTGAGTTTAAGGCCAGCCAAAACTACCTAGGGAGATCCTGTTTCAACAAAACAAAAAGAAGGGCTGGGGTTGTGGCTTGGTGGGAAGACCCTGGGTTCAATCACCAGTAGTACCACTAAAAAAAATGTCATTTATGTATAATTCACATACCATAAAATTCACCTCTTTAAAGTATACAGTTCAGTGGCCCTTAGGATAAAGTGTAGATGGTTTTGTCCAGCCGTTACCACTAGTGTCAGAACGTTTTTAGCCGTGGAGAACAGCCCTGTGTACTCAGGAGCAGCCGCTTCCCCTTCCTGCCTCCTCCAGAGCCTGGCAACTGCTAATCCGCTTTCTGTTCCTGTGGATTTCCCTACTGTGCACATTTCCTATTAATGAGGGATGCCAGGCCTTTTGTACCTGGCTTCTTTTCCTAACGACAGTTTCTAGGCTCGTCCACGTTGAAGCATGTGTCAGTACTTTATTTCCTTCCACGGCAGAGGGTCCATTGTGTAGACACACCGCTTTTTGTATCCGGTCTTCCGCGGGTGGACATTTGGGTTGATTCCACCTTTTGGCTACTGTGAGTAATAAACCGTCATAGGATGGTTTTTGTGTGGAGATGTTGTCTGTTCTTCTGAGTAGGACCGGCACTGGTGAGTCCCTGTGATAACCTGATGGACAGAAACATCTTCTAAAGTTCTCCCAGTTATTCACAAGAGCCCCATACAGCTGGATGTATCCTGGAATCCCAGGACTCGGGAGGCTGAGGCAGGAGGATCGCCGCTAGTTCGCGGCCAGACTGGGATGTATATAGTAAGTTCGAGGCCAGCCTCAAAAAAACAGAAAACAGACCCTGTCTCCAGAAAACAAAACAAAAAAAAGCCAGGCATGGTGGTGGCACACACACCTGTAATCCCAGAACTTTGGAGGCTGAGGCAGGAGGATCGTTGCGAGTTCGAGGCCAGCCTGGGCTACAAAATGAGTTCAAGGCCAGCCTGAACTGCATAGTGAGACCCTGTCTCAAAAAGACAAAAAAAAAAAAGAAAGAGCCCCATACACTGAATGGCCATCCTGTTGATACATGGGAGGGTGGGGTCAGCATGTACCTTCCTGGTTACCAATGCAGATGCTGACACCCGACTGCCTAGGCTCAGATCAGCTCTGCCACTTTCCAGCTGGCTTTGGGGATGCTGATTAACCCCTCCGTGCCTCAGCCTCTTTGTCTGTAAATGGAAGGGGCACAGACCCACCCCCAGGGCCCCGACGAGGCTGACGTGAGAGCGCGCGCAGCCCTGCCGAGAAGCGGTGTCGCTGTCCTGAGACGGCAGTTACTGCAGCTGGAGTAGAAGGGCTTCGGTGAGCGTGTCTGGCGCCCGGCAGTGCCGGCCCACGGGCGCCTGTGTCCGTCGGGGGCTCTGCGATGCTGAGGACTGTGATGCTGAGCAGTGACGCGACCCTCAGCGAGTCACCTGCGGGCTCACTGCGCCACGCGTCGCCCGGCGCCACTTCGGCGGCTTCCAAGCAGCCCAGAGAAGGCCTGAGTGGGACGGAGGGGCACCGAAGCCTTTGCCTCGGGGTCCCGACCCGGAGTGCGTGGCTTCCTGGTCTGCTAGGCCTCTCGGACTCCGCCCGCCGGTCCTCCTCTCTGTGCACCACCGGTCCGCAGTGGGTGGGAGCAGCGGGTCGCGGCCCCAGCGCTCACCGGCTCCACCCCTGCCGCTGCGCTCTCGGGCAGCCGAGGCCCCCCTGGCCTGGGCGCGCGCCGCAGCCTCCTCCTTGCCGCTCTTGCAGCCCTGCTGCAAGCTTCCTATTTGCCGTTAGAGTAAAATCGCCGTGTCCTAAGTCTCCGGGCCTCTGTGGTTGGAGAGGGAGCCACGTGGGGGACCGCTGAGCGAGCGAGTGGTTTGCGGAGCTGAGGAGCTTGGCAGGTGCTCTTATGTTGAGCTGCAGCCCGTGCCCGGTTCTGCCTGATCCTAAGCTTAGTGTGGCAGAACGCGAGTAGAAAATTGGCGGGGTGTGCCATGTCGGATGTGCTTTTATTTTTTTGTTTTGTTTTGGTACCGGGAATCGAAGTCAGGGCCTCCTGCTTGCCAGGCACATGTGCTTTAATAAGATACATCTTTCTGGGGCTGGGGTGTCTC